TAATACTGAACTATGTATATTCGTTCACTAATAAAGATATATTATTAAAAAAAATCCACTCAATATGATAACGAGTACAGGTTATCCTACAATGTTCGCACACGCAAGTTTCTTTCGGCTCGTGGAAGGTATTTTGTTTTGCAAAGTAAAAAGTGGAAACCGTGAACTGCCAGCCTGGTGACCACATGTCTCATCTCATAGTTTGTCGTTGTCCATTTTATGTTTGTCGTTGATTCTGTGGCGTAGAATTCCGGCCATATCCCTCCTTTTTTCTTCTGCTTTTCTGACAACATGCTATTGTGTGAGGAAGGAGTAGTAGAAACCTTAAATCCATTGTCAGAAAGGTTTATCTTGCCAACTCATAGACTAACCTTGATTTACTTATTTTGGAAACATTTTTGAGAAAATGGCGTTTGACCGTTTCTGATAGTCTTGCTTGTGTATTTTTTTAAAATTGCGTATATTGCTTGCAAAATTGCGTAAAAACTACTAAAATTAAAAAAATATATACATGACCTTAATGAAAGAATTCACTATGGAGAACAAACTTTATTTTAAGGAAAAATCTCTGTCTTCAATTTTGTAGTTGTAGGAAATAATCGAAAAAAATCATGATTTCAAAATGTTCGATAATTCCGAGTTAACCGTTAAAATCGGGCTAACGCCACTTTTATAAGTGTATGTTACGCTATTCTTAAAAGAAATTGAAAGCAAACATTTGGAGCAGTTTTTGAGAAAATTATGAAAATATCGGGAGGGCTTCATGTAAAGTACCTCGAAATTTTTAAGAATGTTATTCAAAATCTCAAATCTTCGACTCGAGTCTGATGGACAGGGGTTTCTTCAATTTGGAAAAAAATCCTACGGATGGTTTAGGTGCTAGTAGTGTTCACAGACGGACGTTTTGAAAATAACCACTTTTTCGGTATCAGGGGACTTCACAATGTGTATTTCCGTTGAAATCTCGAAATTTATTTTTCTTAGCATTACATAACATTCCCTATATTACATACATTACTATTATATACGTATTATTATTATTATTATTATTATTATTATTATTATTATTATTATTATTATTATTATTAGTCCGTTTAATCCCTATTAGGGCAAGGGCCTCTGGCCCAGGGTAAAGAGGCTTACATTATTAATTTTCAAAAAAATGTTCATGACCTTAAAGAAGGAATATACGTACGTAATGAAAGAATATAATTACACGTATGTATATTTTTATTTTCCCCCTCATTTAATTTAATAAAGGAACTAGTGATGATATAGAATGGCACAGATCTTCCCGAATTTGTTTTCTATTTATTTTTGTCTCGGCCAACTATACGAACTTGCCATATGCTTTCGCTAGCTGCCATCTATCACCGCCCAAAATACATTTCTTTGAAATGTTCTTAATTTTTCGCTTTCTTATCAATGTAACGGAAATATTATTTTATGAATACTAAAGAGCAGTAAAAACTCGTCCTAAATGGGAAGTTTCTTTGAAAAATTTGAAGCAGTAAGAAAACGGCGTCTAAGCGCCACTGTAAATTCGAAATTTGAAGCTCTTTTCACAGAAAACTAATGAGTTTTCGAAAAACGCCATTTGAAGTCATTTGAAGCACTTTAAATTACAAATACAGTAGTGTTTACAAATTGCTAGAAATGTGCATATTAATGGTGTGAGAAATCTTTCAAAAATATTACATTTGTTTAATTTAAAAAAACAAAAAAGTACTCCGAAATGAATATTACGTCATATTAAAGAGTGCAACTCACACTATCCGTTCAAAAGTTTGAAGAAAAATGTGGGACTGTTTTTGAGAAAATGGCGTTTGAGCGTCCCTGGAAATTCGGAATTTTTAGCTATTTTTCACAGAAAACTGTTGAGTTTGCGCGAAACTTTATCTGATATTTTTAAAGCCGGTGTACACGGTAACACGTTAATGTAAACAAGTTGACAAAATGTAAAAATTAAAAGTTAAAAACTAGTCAAAATTTTTTTTGTATTTTTTGAAAAACCAAAAACAAAAGAATAGAGGAATTTGTGGTTATGTCATTTTATAGAGAGCATTAAATACTATCCTTTCCAAAAAATTGGAGATTTTTGAGAATATCTTGTTTTGGTAATTATTTAAAATGCGAATATTGCCCCCAATATTGCGCGAAAAGAACAAAAGTTTTCAAAATAATGTATATGATGAAAGAAGTCACTATGGAGAAAAAAATGTATTTGAACGTAAATCTAACTTTAGTAGAGAACAATGTAACTTTCAAAACAATGTACCTTAATGAAAGAAGTCACTATGGAGAAAAAAATGTATTTGAACGAAAATATCTTAACTTTAGTAGTTGTATGAAGACGTCCGAAAATTTTTGAAATTTTCGAAAATTAATATTAACAGTGCAAATCGGACATTTATAGGGGTATTTTGATCTATTCTTACATGAAATTAAAAAGAAATAATTTGGATCCGTTTTTGAGAAAATTTTGAAAATGCCCGGAGTTCTTCATGTAAAGTACTCCCCATTTTAAAGATTTTTTTTCAAAATCTCAAAGATTCGACTTGCGCCAGATGGACACTTGGCGTTTGGAAAATAGCATGCATGGTTTCGCTATTAGTAGTGATCACAGACGGACAGACAGATGAACAAACGGACAGACGGACGGTTTGAAAACAACAATTTTTCGATATCAAGGGTCCCCAAAAACATGTATTTCTGTGAAAATCTCGAAATAGATTTTCCGCAGTATTACATAGTTTTCCCTCTACTACGTATATTACTCTGTATATACGTAATTATACGGGTTGTAAAAATAATTTCCATCACAGTAGTGACAATGAAGTTTGTGAATTAACCAAGGGATATGATCCTCCTTTTTGTCACTTAAAATTCATTAACTTTTCTTCAACCTTACCTCTGCTGAACCAGTTTATGCCATATTTGTTCGGGTCTTCTGCTGGATTTCCAAGGAAACGTTGTTGTAAATAATGAGCAAATAAATTTGCTGTTTATTTTAATCAGCTATTTACAAAAGAAATACATGAAAATGGTATTTGGCTTCGCATTTGTCATAAATAAGATGACTTCCTTACTGGTATTTACAAACATCACTCGAAAATTGTAAGGCCAAAAGTTTTTATCGTAATATTAATTATTACTCAATAATTACTTACGTTCCTGCTCACGAAATTATTATGTTTGCCCTTGCTCAGTTGATTGTACACAGTAATTACATATTAAAAATTGTATCACCTGATAGGCTCAATATTGACCGAAAGGCACTCAGTGACTTCGCATATTTTGACATATGACATTTAATGAAAGCAGTTGTAATGAATTTATACACTAAAAATGAAATTATCTATAATCAAAACAGAATATTTGCTTTTGTGACATACGAATCGATATCGTAATATCGACACCAATTCTGTGTCATAAAAAATCTACTTGATTGTTACGGTGTGTCTCAATAAATGTTACTATCTTCTAAGGCTTCAATGGGGGGCGTAAATATTGGTTAATGATTGGGGGCGAGAAATTTCTTATAACGATGTAGGCAACTCATCGTAGTTAGATGTTTAGTAGTTTTGAAATTTCCTTGACTGCGACAGTACCTTAGCTGTCGAACACAAGGGAAAAATGAGTGACAAAGTGTGATGAAATGCGATTCCTCTTAATGCCTTAGAAGTTGGTAACATGTGTTCTGAAATACTCTGCACAAGAAATCGAATGCTCAAGTCGTGTCACTATAATCGTGTTCTTTCTTAGCATTCTGGCAACTACTCACTTTGTAATATTGTTTCTATTTCTTATTTAAGAGTTTGATGAAAAATTATATTAAATTAATATTTATTAAAAATATTTCTTTGAATAGAAGAAGACAAATATATTTAACTTTCTTATTTAAAATCTTGTAATAATACGAATTGATATTCAAAGTATCATTTCTTGAGATTCGATATTGTCACCGTATCGATACTTCCTTTTATTGTTGATTATGTTTTCAAAAACTGTATGGATGAAAATATTTCACCATCATCGATTATGAGTTAGAGTTTTTACTCAAATGAATTACTATTATTATTAATATTATTGTTATTATTGATAATATATTTCCGAAACGTTTACCGGCATTTAAATAATGAATACAATTCGCTAATTGCGCAAGATCTGTTTAATTATTTTCGTAACAATTAACGCAACAGAATTCAACTCCAATCTTTCTTTAAGGTAGTGTGTTGTATCTAAAGATGGTGTAGGAGTACACCAATTCCAAGAAATTGTGTTTGTTATTTAGCTGATTTTGTCACTTAAGTATGTGATAGTACGAAATGCATTTAACGACACACGACCGTTATCACGTGTAATGCACTTGTTGACTATAAACTTCTGCTATCGCCTCAATTGAAGAACTGTAGCCACGTCTGGCTTTTGCTGTTTAACTGGCAAAAGAGTAACTATAATAGTAAAGGGGAGAACATCAACCCCAAAAAATCCCTGCGTCCTCTTCTGGAGTATTACAAAGTTGTCACCTATTATCGCAACAAAGACCAACAAAGGCTGCCGAACGCAGGTAACTATAGAAGCAGCTACAGTACACTTCCTTAACCAATCGACTTCTACATTGCAATTAACAAATAACCATCTACTGTTTACGCAGAACTTTTCAATTGGGGTATTGTACTTTTTTAAATGTTAGTGCACTTCCATGAGGACGCTAAAAGGGTAATTTTCATAACAGATTTACTTTTCCAGGTCGTCTTCTTTGGCTCCCTAAAGATAATCACGTTTTTCTGTTGTTGTTTTTTGACGTGAAATGAGCGTTTTTTAGTGATCGAAACAGTGGAATAAGGTTTTTCTGATATGTTTAGCAGAAACATTGGTTTGTCCTTGGTCTGCAAGTTATCGACATTCCGTTAAAGAATAGTTTATTTGACCTTCTACACACGCAAATCAGCGGGCCGCAGTGGACGAGTCGCTAGCTTAGTGGCCTCCGACGAGCTAAAATATACTGCATGCTGTCAAAGCAGAGCCCTCTGGGAAACAAAGTATTCTAGCATAACGCATTTGGCGCTGGTTACGGACGGTTACACCCAGGTTACACCGCCACTCGTATGTTTGGACAAAACAAACATGGAAGCCACTAGTTCGGTGTGCATCCACCAAGAGCGCTGCAACTGTGGGAATAGCCCCTGCATGTAGTATATTCTAGCTCGTTGGTAGCCTCTGACCTATGAAACTTGGCGCAGTATTTGCTTTTGTGTCGCCAACTCTCGACAAAACATGTTACTGACGGCTACTATGTTAGAGTAGTACATTATTGCAGTACGTTTAAACCGGCCATTGAATCTCACATTCAAAGCAGTAGTGTACTAAGTTGTCGTCCATTAATTACTCAACGCTAAAGAGGGGAGAGGGTTTGAAGCAACGTTACACTGCTTTACCTATAGGGGGTGAGGGTGTTAATATACGTTACGCTAATTATTTTTCTTTTTCATCATTTGCTGAAATAGTTTCTTTTACTAAACATTAAACTGTTAACAAGTGATATTAAAAATTAAAAATAAAGTAAATATTCTTATTCATAAATGTTTACGATATTTGAAAATACTTTTCATCAATAGTATATTGACTGAATCTTGGATTACGAAAATGATCTTTAGTATGTTCTAGAATCCAATTAAATTGACGAAGTAGATACTCGGCCACGCGTTCTCCTTGACATGTGCACTAATCAGAATTTTTTCCCCTAGTATATCCTTCCTTACTTTAAAAATTGTCTCTCGATCTTATTGTTAGGTGATGTCAGCATCGCCAACAAATTCTGAATATAAATCATTATACATTAAACTATAACAAATTAATTCAGATTGTTTCCCGGGATATACTCTTTTTTTACTTTTAAACAGAGGGCTGTTGCCGTAAGCGTTACGTAATTATTTATGGGGGAGTTCAAATGGGCGATACAGGGGCATTATATGGAGAGGGGTGTATTGAATATGTTTCAAATTTGCTTTTACGGACTGCCCCTCGAAGTAATCCTGGATTTTCACCTGTTTCTTTATGGCTTGAGAAATGGTGTGAGTTATGGCCTCATGGTCAAGGCGACCTATTACAATGGACGTCAGTTAAGGGAGTGTACTGTAGCCAGCAAATATATTGCGGTCACCTCGTATTTGCGGAGCAGGTAAGCTCTACTAACTAAATCGGGCGCAGATCTGAGCCCTGGCGACGTAGTTATTACATCCCTCGCTAGATTGCGCACTAATCGGTGCGCACGCGTATCGTAGTAACAATGTTCCTCACTAGATAGCGCGACAGTCGGCGGCGGCGAAGCGCTCGCGCCGTAGTTCGTCGGTCGCGTCACCAGATAACGCACTTGTCGCCGTCGGGGTTCATGCGCGAACCGCGCTCGCAGCGCCAGGCGTCCGCGAACTCCTGCATGTTGTGCAGCACCCCTCGCACGCGCACGTGGTTGGGGCTGTGCTCGTTGGTGAGGTCGTAGCGCAGGGAGCTCACCGTCCACGCTTCGCACCACACCTGCAACCAACAAGGAAGTTTGAGTCAGGGTGGCGGCACTCGGGGTTCAAAATGGGGAGAGTGCCTCCCTGGCGTGTACATTGTGCCAAACTAAAGAAGAATGAGCCAAAATGACAGATACCTAAACAAGTGAACATCACAAGAAATTCAGAGAAGTATCCCTCCGCCAATGGCAGCTGTTCAGCAATGCCTTTTCTTTAAGTGTTTATGTTTGTACATGGCTCCCGTTAAGACATCATGGCTTCACATGGTTCACAACCGTGTAATTATATAAAACAAACTAATTGATAAATCTCAAGCCACGAAACGTTCTCGATCACATATCGCTCAGGGGAATGAAACTTGTGTTCCAGTATGCGTGCGCCAGACTCGGTTTTCAAATAAACGTAATACTCATCACACAAAAGGTAAATTCAATGTAAAGATTATAAAAAAGAATTTTTACAGAAGAGAACAGAAGCACTGCACTTCCTAATTTCAATAGTTTCTCGAGACGAACTATATTTTCGTCGGACGATGACATCACAAAAGAAAGCGTCGAAGCCATTTTCAAGTTAGCCAACTGCAATCTAACGAATGAAGGAAGGAGAGTCAAATGGGTTGAAGGACACAACGGCCACCGAACCTTCAGTTAAGTTGCCATCACTGCCTGTCAAAAATGTCAATAAATATTTGGTAAATTTTTGAGGTACAAACGAATTTTCAGCGTGCATCTTCCTCGAGCCACGGCAAACAAGTGCATTGTTGAAATAGATATATCGCAAGCAATACCCAACAATATCGATTATCGTCCCGCAACAACATAATTCACGTGTATCATATCGCAGTAATGTCGTAAATTGTCTCAAAAAAATTAAGATTTTATGGTGACCGATGAAACGTTGAACATACCACGAAATGTTACAGTGTTATTACTGCCTTGTCCATATTAAAAATCCCGGCTTCGCTACGCTCTGCCTCGATTTTTAACTTTTGGCATCAGCAGTAATAACACTCATAACATTTCTAGGTATTTTAATAGCTATAATGTTTGAAACGTGGATGTTTCTATAAAATAATCAATGTTTTGAAAACATCAACATCGTTGTCACATTCCTCGAAATGTCTTTATGTTTGACGTTCGAGATCTACGCGGCGATGCTGACTGTGCTTTCGTGGTGACAAGGAATGGTAGAAGCTTTTCTAGTGACGTTCCTTTGTCAATAACTCGAAATGAATAAATGAAAGGGGCGGAGCGTCGTATTACCTGAACACTTCCGCCATGCATTTCACGCCCAACATCAAAACATCCCATCATTAAAAGTATCGGAAGAGTATAGATTTCGGACTGAAAAATTTCTAAAGTATAGTTCTGAATTGTATTATTTGTTTTAGATTGCCCGCGAACGATCTTGCTGGCAGTGATCACGTGGCATGGGCAGTAAAGGGCGGCAACGCTTTATCTGCCGAGGCTCAACAGTCAAACACAAAGAACAACGCTGTGCTAAGATGGCAAATTGTTATAAGTCACTTTTTTAAAAATTTTCCATGACAGCAATTTTAAGCATCAAAATGTCATGAAAAATTATTCTGTGGCTTCCGTCTTATTGCAATTTGCCACCATTGTTTTTTCATAAACTGTAAGAGAAATATACCTTTTGCCTAATTCTAAACATTAACAAACAATAGTTACTTGTGTTAATTTGTGTCTCATGTCATGAAAAAGTGACTTTTATCATTTTGCTACCTTAGCACAGAGAGTATTTCTTATTTTAGGCTCATCAAGTACTGCGATCATTGGTCTCATAAGTGAAGTGTATGCTGAGGGAGAGAAAGAAAGCCACAGAGAAATGGAGAGAGATGATGATGGAGTGGTAGAGAGAGAAGAACATGGAAATGGAGAGATAGGGAAAGAGAGAATGAGAGACGGAGGTGGAGAGAGAGACAGGAAGTGAGAGGGAGAGAGAGATGGAGCAAAGATAATGATGGAGAGAGAGACGGAGAAAAAATAGAGAACGAGACACGGAGATAAGCGAGGGGGAGAGGAAGAGATGGACAGAGAGGATGAGACAGAGAAATGAAGATTTAGACAGAGAACGAAGAAGAGCGAGAGTAAGAGAAGGAGAAATAAAGATAAAGATGGAGGGAGAGGAAGAAAGAGGGAGAGGAAGAAAGAGGGAGAGGAAGAAAGAGGGAGAGGAAGAAAGAGGGAGATGGAGATAGAGGAGAGGAGGGAGAGAGAGGAAGAGATGGACTGATAAAGAGGAAGATGGAGGGAAAGGAAGAAAGGGAGAGATGGAGATATAGAAAGAAGAAGAGAGAGAAAGATCGAGAGAGAGAAAGATCGAGAGAGAGAAAGATCGAGAGAGAGAGAAAGATCGAGAGAGAGAGAGAAAGATCGAGAGAGAGAGAGAGAGAAAGATCGAGAGAGAGAGAGAGAAAGATCGAGAGAGAGAGAGAAAGATCGAGAGAGAGAGAGAAAGATCGAGAGAGAGAGAAAGAGGGTCTTGGAGATATAGTTAGAGGAAGAGATGGAGAAATAAAGAGGAAGAAGGAGGATGACGGAGGGAGAGTGCGGTGCGCAGCACTGACGTTGGCGAAGGCGAGGAAGAAGAGCTGGTCGAGCGAGTGGTGCTCCAGGCCCGGCAGCTTGGGCTCGGCGCGGGGCAGGCGCGCCGCCAGCAGGCGGTAGGCCGCCAGCGCCTCGCGCAGCCCGCCGTTGTCCGCGATGTTCTCGCCCAGCGTCAGACGCCCGTCCACCTGCGCACACGCACACGCACACGTGCACTGCGCTTAAGGGAACTGTCTCGTGGAGATGGACAAGTATTCCGACATTAAAGAAACAAATACTATATTTTTGGATTTAAAAAATATTTTCAATTAAAAGCAATTGTCTTTTTAAAAAAAATTGTCAATAATTAAAAAATAATTTTGTCAATTTTTTAAAAAAAATGTGATTTTTTTAAAAATTATTTTGTCGATATTTTAAAATTATTTTGTCGACTTTTTAAAATTATTTTGTCGATTTTTTAAAATTATTTTGTCAGTTTTTAAAAATATTTTGTCAGTTTTTAAAAATATTTTGTCAATATAAAAATATTTTGTCAATATAAAAATATTTTGTCAATATAAAAATATTTTGTCAAAAAAGTAATATTGTGTAAAATTTTAAAAGTTAACCAGCTCGGACAAGCTCTAAACTTGTGACATAGTGCCTTAGTGCACAGAGGTGTGCAAAATATTTTTCGCAAGGGCAAGACTTTTTTTAATAAATTCGTTAAACTCGTTGTAGAAATTATAAATAAAACTGGCAGGACACCTATTGTTTTCAAACCTCTACCTAGTGGCATCTACGTTTTTGTTTGTGTTTCATGTACATGATTGTTTGTGTTCATGTTTATGATGTTGGTAAGAGTGTTATTTAATTTTTTAACTCCACAGTGTGGACAATTGAAAAATCTGTGCTACTACTGCCAACAAACAGTCCAGATATAAACACAATTGAAAATATATGGATAATCTTTAAAAACAAGCTAAAAAAGTAAAATTTCAACTCGTGAAGGTCTGGTAGTATAATTGAAGGAAAAATTGGCAAAATTATTCAGACATCAAAATGCAGTGTATGGCACTTATAAGAAAGATGTCAGAGAGGGTCAGGATGCTCATAAATGAATGATCAGACAGAAATATCGCTGTACCGCCACTTATGAAATTACGTCAACAAAAATAAAATAATTGAAAATTTTATGATAATTCAGACAGAAATACCGCTGTTCCGCGACTTATGAAATTACGACTTATGAACTTCTTCTCGAGTTCTAATTTCTTTTTCAAATATTTACTAATTTTTTTAAAAAATCGGTCCCATCATCGGGCAACTTGATTTGCGGGGCCTCTGGCGATCGCCCGGTCTGCCCATGCGTAGCTTCGATAGTCGGATTACCTTTGCGTTGATCTCTTCGAGGCGGTACCGGCTGTACTGGCGCACAAAGCACTCTGTCTTGTTCACGTACTCGGACACCGTCGCGTTGCTCCACCACTGCCGCATGTTGCCGTTCTTGTCGAACTGTCGGCCTGAAACGAAACGAAATGCGCTCAGAACTTCCGAAAATGGCGTCGCCACCAGACCCGATTCATTACACAGGCGCACACACACTCAAAAAAAGTGGTCAGATCCAAAGACTTTACATGTATTTCTTTATGTATGTTGACGATCTAAATCCGAATCCGAAGTCAGAATTTCGCTATTACCCTCCAGATTTTTTTAGCGCCAAAAATCTTACCGTGAAGTTATAAATTGTAAAATTTACGGTTTTTTTCGGGATTTAACAAAAATCTAGAAGGTGGTGGCGCAATTCAGGTTTAGAATTCAGCACGTCAACATACACTATGTGATCAAAAATATCTGGACACGTCCAAAATGGTGTTATGTTTGGTCGTGTTTTTTATGGAGGGGGTTGCATCCCTGGTTTTGTGTAGCATTATCACGGCACAGGCCTACGTTGATGTTTTAAACACCGTCTTGCTTCCCACTGTTGAAGAGAAATTAGGAGATGGCGATTGCATCTTTCCACACGATCGACCACCTTGTCATACTGCACGGTATGTGGTGGAGGGGTTAGACGACAATAACACCCCTGTGATGGACTGGCATGCACAGAATCCTGACTTGACTCCTATAGAACAACTTTGGGGTTCTTCAAAACGCTGACTTCATGTCAGGTTTCACCGACCTACACCAATCGACATTTTTTAAAATTTAGAGTACAATTCGTCACGTCTCCGCCAAATTTTCTTCCTTTAGAGACCTCATTAATAAAGATTGCGCATATTGAGAAATGTTGCATACGAGAGACGCCAAACTGATCTATACTAAATAACTTGGGGATGAATAATATTGGAATGAAGCACGACTTGACTTCAACAATTGGCAAATAGCATCCTCTTAGGCGCTGTTTCACACTCGCGAGATTTTAAGCACATTTTATGTTATTGTGCCAACTCACGGTCGTTTAATATTTTAATGTTAAAATTAGTGTAAGAAGCGATAAATATAGTTATTTATGTAGTCGATACATTTTTGTTTAATTTTAAAATACGTTCTTTAATTCCTTTCTGATGAAATTAAAACTGCTTTCAAGCCTCTTCGTAGTAGAGTTCTCTATACGTCGATGAAAATAATGCCTGTTGACACTTGGGTAGCTGTTACGTCATCCAATGGGGAGCTTGAAGTCACCACAGTGACGTCACTATGATGACATTCAAGCTCCGGATTTGATGACAGAATCACAGATGATCTACTGTCAAAGAACGTAAATTTTAAACGAACTATAGAATCGTGGTACTATTGATTGGGATTAGTGCACTTCAACAATCTGACGAAAAGAGAATAATTCAGAAACCACATCACTTCCAGGGAAGTCAAAATAATCAATATACTAAGAAATAACTTTTCATTATACTGCCATAAAAACTAATGGAAATTCCCTTCTTATTTTTTTACTTTATTTTTACCGGCAATAACTCTCCTTCTTCGGGATGGTTCCTAGATGGCATACCGAAATATCACTTTACTTTTTCCTTGTGGATGTCCATTTATTTCTGGAAATATTTTTTAACGCTTTTTTGCACCAGGTTGTAATATTCGAAATATTAGGGTACGCTAATCTAAGCTACTTTGACAAAGAGGTTTGCAAATTCGGAATAATATTATTGAGCTCTAATACGCATTATTATTATTATTATTATTATTATTATTATTATTATTATTAGTAACTTTACCTTGATCGTCAAAACCATGTGTTAACTCGTGGCCAAGAATAGATCCAATTGCTCCATAGTTGAGGACTCTGCAAAACAGAATTCAGATCTTTATATTGATTACTTCATTTGAGAAATACAAAATAGAATTCAATTTAAAAACTATGGCAAAAAATGTGAGAGTTGTGCGTCATAAGACTTACAGGAAACTTACTCTAATCCGAGGTCATAGAATGGAAACTGCAGGATGCCAATTGGTACCGCTGAAATTCAGAAAACGGTTTTATTTAGTACTAACACAACTCTTTGTAATAACGTACTGTTCTGTCACCAGCATGCAACTTAGCACAGAAATAGCGTCTTTAGCATTATGTGATGTTAAGTATTGTAACGACCGTCAGATGTTACGAACTATCGAAACAAATGAATGAGTTATACCACAAAATGGCGAATAAGAATTCCTTATCAATGCAAATGTATTTCTTATTTATATAACTTTTTCTTGTAAGAAGAAGGAATTTCGAAAAGTATAGAACGCATGGCTAACTTGTGCATGTGGCTCTGGTTTCATTGATTGATTAATTAGTGATTCCGGGCGTGTCAACTGCTAAGGTTTGACCCGTATGTCTATAGTATGTTATTTCCTCGGGAGGTTGTGCTTATCTTCCCCATTGGATGGTGATTTCCTGCGCCACCGTACCTGTCGGCTAGCGGGCTTTTCCCAAACCAGGTATCTCCCAACAGTGGCGCATCGCCTCTGCTGGGAAAATCTATAATCCTCTGCCCGATCTCCCGACATGTGTGGTAGCGTAGTGCATATAAGTGTTAATGAATTTAAGTAAGCTGTGAGGATAAGTCAAGGAAGAGGAAGGAAAGATCGCGCGGGGTCCGTGTCCTATTTGTTAGGGTACTACTCCAGCATACCCTGATATTAATCGGAGAAACCACGAAAAATACCGATCAGAGCTTCCGACCAGTAGAATTTTCTTTCAGACAGCGACTGAATTCGACTCAGCTGCCCAGCTAGTGTCAGAAATTTGAACCCCGCCGGGTCTGAAACCCTAGGGCCTCTCGGTCAACCGCACAGCAGTGATCAGTCAGTGGCCTGGGTCTGGTTGTAAGATGACATTGAAATCAACTCTTATACGAGAAAAAATCAACACCCGTTCCTTGAAGAATCGTCAAAATTAATGAAACATTATTTCGACCGGAAAGGAAGACGGTGAAACATAAAGGGAGGTAATAATTTGACGTTCGATCAAGACCGATTTGACGAGAGTTGGTGAAATCGACAGGCAATATTTCATATTTTGTTTTGAATAATGGACAAGTTAGAGACCTTTCATACACCCAGAATCAATTTTTTAATTTTGTAAAAAATCATTTTAGTGTAAATGATATTACGACATTTTTATTTTTGGCGTTTAAAGGTATTCGTACAAAATTTAAAAACAGTCACTTCAGTGCTTCTTCTTTTCTTCCTATGCATGCTGATGTAAACAATTTAACTTTTATGTAATATATAACGTGACAATTGAAAATAACACGAGAAAGTATGCGCAGTTGTAGCATCGCTTGTTTTAATTGCGGAACAGGAAGTAATACATGGCTAAGCTAGGTTAAGCTTGGCTAAGCTAGCTAATTCAGGCTACGTTAGGGTACGCCAGTCTAATGTAGCCTTCTCGCTGAACACTACTGCATATCGCCTTTTAGCCTTTCTCTGAGCCCTATTCGTTAAGTTTAAAACGTAGCGTTTTTGCGTGGTTCTTATCAAGAAAATAATACCTATTTTATTCATAAGGTTAATTACTATTCTTAATTACCAATATAATGCAAATGAAATACGCCTTTAACACCTAGAGGGTAATTAAAAAAATATCTGCTTTCCTGGGCGCTCAGGATAGACGGGTTCCTGGCGGCAGCGCAACATACTATAGTACGCCACGAAAGTGCCTCACTGAGCTAAGTCAGGCCCTCCTATTAAAAATTGCATTTATGTTGACAACAACCAGATCATTGGGAAACCAATGAAGGGGACAAAACTTACAGCACCTGTTATGATTAGGTGAGTAATCAATTTACGTTTTCATTTGTTACGAGCTGCAGCTCGTGCTACCAACATAATTTCTTTTCCTACCACTCTCACCAGCAAGGTGTAATTGCGGTAAGCTTATCCTGGCGGGCTGTATTTGCCCTGACGTATCCTAACATTTTTTTTTCATTTTCTCCAAGGGTCATTTCAGAAGCCATGGCAACTATTTTATATATTCGGAATAAACCGGATATGCGGTTATTACTCTATATAGTACATTTGAAAATATGGTGTTTACAGTACGGGATACGACCAGCAGATGACGTCTGAATGCACTGGTGTCTGGTAGACAATACGTTAGTATCCTAGAGTCCGTGTTCCGAGATGTGTTACTAAAGTTGAACCTCGAGCATATGTATAAATTGCGTTTCTTCTTGGCAGAAATGCTCGTGTTATGCTGAGCTACGAGATGTATTGGGCGATAAGTAGTTGCCCTATCGAACAGCTGCACGCTGGGTGGAGGCCTTCAAACGTGGACACTGTGGCGACTGTTGACCTGCCACGAAATGAACGTTCAGCGACTGCTAACATAGCGGTGCTAGTGGCTGGTATCGAACACTGGGTAGCAGATGAAAGGCGTTGGACTACGACGGAATTAGACGTTTATACTGGTATAGAGCGAGTTTTATAAGAATGGGACGTTTTGACAGCTAGTGCTGGCAACACACATAAAGGTCCTGAGGTCATTGAGTCCCATTACACTCTCCCTACTCTATTCGTTCGTTTGCAGTTTTCTAACTTGGAGCGTCTTCGACGCTTCCTTTTATGATGTTCTTTTAGGTTGTGTCCGTCTATGAAACAAACGGAACAAGTTTAAACTTGTCCATTTCGCAATTCAAACGTTCTCAGACCAAACTTGCGCAATTAAACATGCACGAATTAAAACCGCGATTTCCCTACCATTTATGTCCCGCTAGTCACTAATTGGTTAATACTCCTCTGCGATAAAACAACAAGCCACACAGCAGCCTGTGTCAGAACCTTGTGCAGCGATGGGGGTGGGAGATTGTGGAACATCCTCTGATATCTGTCCGGGTGACTTTGATCTCATTCCAAAACCGAAGACGCTGCTGCTGGGACAGCGGTTTGCAAACAGGGAGGCCACCCTTACTGCGCATCGACGAGAGGTGGCGCGCATAGACGCTGGACACACAGCTGATGATATTCAGCCTTGGCAAAGCCTTTGCCTCAATCGTTGGCGAAGATGTGGAGGCACCTTGCGGAATTATTTTGCAGAATTTATAATTGTGATCTCTATTTACGAATCTTTCAATATCCCTTATCCATAGCGCCTAGTACCCGGATACCAATTTAATATCATCATTGCCTAGAACATTCCAGCGAATTTCAATCGTATATATTGATTTTTGTTTTCTGCAGCTTTAGTGACCGATAAAAATTGTTTCCACGACTTCTGAAATGTCCCTCGTATTTTCGTAAAAAATAGAATGAAATCAAATTAATATTACACAATGCGAAATATATCTCACTCGCTCCTGTCCTCGGAGCTCGCAAGAAAGTAATGTAGAACTTTTTATCACCGTAGGTGATAAAGAGCAGCATATTTTGGACTATTAAGAAGAGTCTTAAACCTTATTAAAAAAATTAATAAATGCATACATATGTAAATGTATATATATATTTAATAAATATATAAACAAATAAAAAACCTCACTACCGTAGCTCGTAATATTTTGTTCGCATAGGAACAATGTAAGAATATAACTTTATTTTACCCTTAGTTTAATGGAGAATACATAAATATTAACATGCGACTACATTCTAGAATATACAAAATATTATTTTTAATCAAAGGAATTAATATCAAGTAATACTTACTAATTGCGTTGGCTTGAAATGTATGAAATGCGTTGACGTCAGTTGGATCAGTCACCCACCTGTAACATGTCATGAAGGACATATTCGCATATATTTAAAGTAATTTATCGATTACGGCCTGATATATCACCATTTATTTTACTGCTCTTGGCAATGGACGAAATATTTTTTTTATTCTAGTGAATTTAGAAGATCGTAAGCTCACCTCTAACGTTGCATTTTACGATCTGCAGGTCGTCCGTTAAATTTAACTTTTAGTTAACTTTATTTCACTTTAACATTTAGTTTAGCCAAAGAAAAAAGTTTTTATTTTGCAGAAGAGAGTATTTGATGAAATATCAGGTCGCAATAAGGCAATGGTCGCGACACGACTGTTTGAAATTGAGAGATATACTTCTGATTGTTCGGAGTTAATGTTCGTCGCTGTACAGAATGAACTTTTTGTTTCTCAAATGTCTGTTGATGTATTGGCTTAAAAAAATAATATTTGCTCCAAATGCTCTACGGTTGGTAATTCATTTCATAAGTGGTGGCTAATATATGTTAATATGGACAGATATTGCAGTAATATAATATTACGTAAACATTAATTAGATTTCTAGTGAGGTAGAACCTTCTAATAATTAAATATGGTTAATTAAATGTGTTGTCTGGTATCAAAAATTTATTTTATTTAATTTTATTATGTATTTTAAAATTGTTTTCGTCCCGGAAGCTGCAAAGTATGTATAACCCAGTCTACTCAGGCATCTGGCATACAATATCTATATTTGTATATAATATTTTGTACTAACTCAACTTATTTTTTTATAAAATATGTATTAATGTAATTTGTTTCTATAGTTCTACTTTTAGGACTAAGGATGATCGCTACTCGATCGAAATTGCAAAATAAATGTTTGATGCCAGACAACACCTTTAATTAACCATATTTAATTATTACGTAATCGTTACTAATGGGAGAAAGTGCGTGTTGTTGTAGCAACACTTACCCCGGCGATTCCTCTGGACTGCGTAAGCTGTCGAGCATTGTCGATATCAGGAGTTGATTAATACGCAATAGAGTATTGAGATACCCCAGTTCGTCCACGACCAGCTGAAAGAAAATGGCAGTTTTTAATTTCTGAGAAACAGTCATTATTACTATAAATACATAAAGGATAAGGTTTGCTATCATGCGTTCATTGTAACTATCGCATGTTGCTGTTTAAAATATAACGGCCTTACAATACTTCTAGGTCAATGGCCCGATACAGACGAACTAAGGATAGTAATTTGTTATCCATAGTGTGCGATTAAATACTTTCCCTAATACTATTATTCTAAAAGAAAAATCATTTAAATAAGAAATACCGGTCAATTGAATAGGAATTTGCATCCACTATTTTGTGCTACAGCTCAATAATTGATTTCGAACATTCTTAACGGTTGGCGGTTAGAAAAATTATTAATGGCTGCCGGCCGTTAGTTTAAACAAACGTAATTTGTATTGTGAAATTATATTATGAAATGTAATAAAGCCATTGATCACAGTGTTGGATAAGGTCTCCCACAATAGTGAAGTGGCTCAAAATTAGAGACACTTTCAGGTGAGCTAATCCTGGGGAGTGTTGTAAAATCATATTAAAATAATTGACATGAAAGTCGGCTCGCAATCTCCGCGTATTTTGGTGACCTAAACATCATCAGAAAATAATAAACAAAATTTTCTTAAAATGCCTTAAAAGCAAAGAAGAATTACGAAAATGTTTATCAAAACTAGTTCAGATTAACAATTCAAGCTTCTGAATATGTTACTGATGTGATCGAGGCTTCTTCCTTTGCCTCAGCTAGGAAACGTGTAATTTGGATTGAACCAGAAAATCTCTGCCGAACCGATATGCGTCACATGAATCTTAGATTACAAAGTACTCAAAACGGCTGACATTACAATTTATGAGCGAACAAATCGAATAGGCTACTCAGGAATTCTGTGGAGAATACTTGTTGCATTTCTTAAATATTATTTGAAGCAATTACCATTAAATTTACCAATTTTTTTTGAGCCGAAACGACGGCTTCTTTATTTACGACGATTTATTTAACGACGAAAAATGCAAACACAAATCATAAAAATGGGTCATTTTCTAATATCATAAAATTAATTTCTATACTAAATGGATTGTTCTAAGGTGAAAAGAAAAACCTGGCATTTCATTACAATCGCCCCCTAGTATTAAGATGTCTTAATATATGTCGTAAATAACTGTTTTGTGTTCTTGTCCCTGTCGTGCGGAAGGGACGTGTCTCGCTCACCCCTTGGTAGTACTCCTCGAGAGACTGCGCGTCCAGAAGCCAGTCGGGGAATCCCACGAACGACGTCATGGCTGCCACCTTCTCGCGAGTCGCGGCTTTCGTGCGCGCGTCCATCCAATCCAGGCGGCTCACTCGGGCGGCGAACGCGCTCCGCACGTCCTCCAGCATCTGCGACACCTGCTCACCGCGCGCAGCGAACAACCTACTTTGAGGCGCGTTCAGATGGTCAACATTGAGCCTCACCACTCGAATACACGAGCATTTATCAGCATTAAGCCTGCTGCTTCTGCTCACCACTCGAATACATTAAGGGATTAATCTATTTTGGCTCACTTTCAACTGGCTCACTAACATTGGACATTCAGCACATGTTCGACATACGCAGGAAACAGTTCGCAACGGATCATTATCATCTGCTCAATAATCAAACACACAGAGCGAGCAATCTACTTTGGGTCGCGTTTAGGTGCATTTATCAGCGTTGAGCCTATATCACCTGCTCACCACTCCAATACACGAAGGGATCATACTACTTTGGCTCACTTTCAGCTGGCTCACGAACATTGAACGTTCAGCAGTGCTCAACATACTCAGGAAACACTTCGCAATGGATCATTATCATCCGCTCACCACTCGAATACGTGGAGCGAATAATATACTTGGATCACTTTCATCTGGCTCACCAACATTGGGCGTGCAGCACATCCTCATCACAATGAGGAAACACTCCTCATTGGATCACCTTCAGCAGGTTGATTTTCATCTGCTTACGACACGTAGCGAACAATATAAGTCGATTATTTTCAGCTGGCTCACCAACATTAGACATTCATCATCAGTGCGATTCAGAACATTGTTATCCATCTCACCCGCATCTGCTCATCAAATGAAGTCAGAGAAAAATTTGGTTGTGCGTTGTGGATTACTATTAGATAGCTCACCGGAACTGAATATTCATCACTTGCTCAAACAAAGTGAATAATCTACTTGGATCACTTTCAGCTGACTCACCAACATTGCGCGTTCAAATCCCGTTCACCACACTAAATCAGGGAGGAATATCGTATCTTTGAATCACTTATTTGCTCGCCTTCATCTACTTAATAAACGAAAACATGGAAGAATCAATCTACTTGGATCACTTTAGGCCTGCTCATAAAAAGATCTGCCCTAGAATTATTTGGGTGTACGCTTGCGATTTCCTTTAAGTAGTTTACCAGTACTGGACATTCAGCACTTTCTCACCACACAAACACACGGAGGGAACAATCACTTTTGGATCATTATATACATGGTATTATATACATATAATATTGCTTGTACTACAATACAATATTATATATATATATATATATATATATATATATATATACTACAATACATACATAGTGTGCGCAGCGCTGCTTGATACGGTCGCGATCGCGACCGTACCGCGGTCGCAAGACAGCCCTTCCCGCGGCACGTTACACACACACATATATATATATATATATATATACATAAGGGGAGGAAACATCAAAACTTCGCAAATATTTTAGGACAATTTGAAACTCAATTTGTGTAATAAAGTACTGGGTCATTCCGAATGGTTGAACGAATGGTTCCGAATGATAAGCACTACAATACATATACTATATGCATGGTATTATACACATATTGCTTGCACTAAATTACAATATTATATATATGTATATATATATATATATGTATATATATAAATATATATATGTATATGTATATATATGTATATATATGTATATGTATATATATATTATATATATATATGTATATATATATATATATACTACAAAACATACGTAGTACGCGCAGCGGTCCTACCTTGTGTCCGGTGGTCTTGGGGAAGGCGGGGTCGGCCACGCCCACGGACACCGCCATGCCCATCATGCGGTTGACGGCCGACGCGCAGAACAGCGAGCGGGCGGGCTGCGTGTGCGAGTCCGTCACCTCCTCCAGGTACGACACCTGCGGCACGAGCACGCGTCACTGCAGGGCGCCACTCGCGGCGGCGGCGGCGTACACTCGTGGTCACAAAAAATAGCCGCACCCGGAAGGACGAGGAGGACTGCGAGCATTGTTGGCTTCTTGGCTGTCCGGGTGATGCCGCGTTGTTGGCTGAGAGGCCGACGTTTTTGGCCTGTCATATCGCGGGCTTCTTCAGGGTAGTCCTCACCCGGACAGCCAAGAAGTCATGAATTCGAGTCGCGGAAGCCTACGTGTACAACGAAAGCGACGACTTCTCGTCTGTCCGGGTGACGCCGCGTCAGGGTAGTCCTCACTACCCTGAAGAAGCCTGCGATATGACAGCCAACGACGCGGCGACACCCGGACAGCCACGAAGTCATGAAATCTAGCCGCGGAAGCCTACGAGTACAACGAAAGCGATGACTGGTAGTGACAGATGGTGACGAGTGAGTGGTAGTGACAGGGTAGTCACTACTCTGAGGAATCCTGCGATATGACAGGCGAAAGGTCGGCCTTTCAGCCATCGACGCGGCGTCTCCCGAATAGCCAAGAATATATTGAATCAGCCGCGGAGGCTTACGTGTGCAAGACGTCGTGAACTCGGAGCCGCGGAAAGTGATCATGCGATTACTCGTATTCTTGGCAGGCAGGTAGAGGGTACCACGCATACGAAATGATGAGAACTGTCACATTGTTAGGGTCACAACGGCTGTACATGGCTAAAGACCACACATGTTGGTATGGCGCGGGGCTGCCACGTTGACAAACACACGCGTCTAGACGTCGCAGCATGGAATTGTACAGGTCTCAAATGGAGTCTTGTGGGCAGCTTGCACCTGAGCGCGCAGTTCGTGCAGTTTGTTGTGTAGGGGTGGGGGTGCATATCTTACGCTCTACAGCGCCCCAAACATTCTCCGATCGGGGAGAGGTCTGGGGATGCGGCTGGTCGTGGAAGATTATCCAGGGATGGAAGGCATGCTCAGAAGATGGCTGCCGGTGGGCTCGATGCCACGCCCCTACCCCCGACTCTTTAGTGAGCTGCCCACCGTGAAAACGAAATCACTGGGTTAGCGAATGGGGTGTAAAATACCCACCGAGCTTGCAGAGAATCAGTAGGGTCCTTCGGGGTGCAGCTTTTTTGTATGACGATGAGTTTAATATTCAATAGCTACGCCGCTGGGTCTAATTCAGCCACGATCTGGAGAATTCTAGCAGCCGGCTGCTCTGTTCAGTAGTTTTTCCGTGGTTTCTCCGATCAACGCCAGGTGAATGCCCAAGCACTACCCTAACAAACGGGCCATGGGCTGCGCGCGATCTCTCCTTCCTCTTCCTTGCCCTATCCGCTTCTTTGCCGCATCCCCAGTCGAGAGCTTAGGGTCCGGCTGGGGCTGTGTTGCACTGATGGAAGATACCTGGTTGGAGAAACCATGCATGCCTATGTGTAGTTAGGCGCCAGATCTCGCCATCCAGCGGAGGAAGATCACCGCCATTTTCCGCGAAATAAAAACACACTACATATACGCAACTCTTGACCTTAGCAGTTGCCACGCCTCGAATCATTAAAATCAATCAATCAACGTTCAACGATGCATGGCCGTCTCTCACCAAGCACGGATTGGAATGGATTGGATGAATTGGCGAGAGGGGATTCGCTTTCGGAGGACGGACATTGATGTTTGATTGATATGCCCATTAGTCCCGTTAGTGTGGTTAATATTTTTTTGCGGGATATAGCAGTATTCCTTCCTGGATGGTAGGGAATTCGGACCTATAAATGAGTGGGAAAATTTCCCCTCCACGTCTCTCCCACACCGGGGAACCGCCCCAGACGGGATAAGCTCCCGAGTGGTCTCCTGGCATGAGTGGTGGTGTAGTGCATGTTATTGTAAGTGTGTGAGTAAGGGGGCGAAGATAGGACAAGGAAGAGGAAGGAAAGATCGCGTGCGGTCCTGGCCCGTTGCCGTTCTCCGGCATTCGCTTAGTATTGATGGGAGAAATCACGAAAAACTACCGATCAGAGCAGCCGGCCGCTAGAATTCTTCTGTAGACAGCGGCTGAATTCGACCCAGCCATCTAGCTAGTGTTGAAAATCCTGCCACCGTCGGGACGCGATTCCAGATTTGGTAGGTATGCCATATTGCAGAGGAAAAAACCCAAGTAAATCCGATTCATTAAAATTAGAAAAAAATATTGCATGTGCCACGAGCGTTAACTGGTTCTAATGATGTCGACGGACAAAAAGCTCTCGGGCTTTTTATCGCCACTTGACCATTATAACCCTTATAACGGCCTTGGTGCATAAATAAGCCTTTAAGACTTTCTGCACAGTTTAACGTATGGCTATGACCTCAATAGCAGTGTGTGAAGTGAAGAAAGAGTTTTTGCTCCACCGTTTTAGTTGAAAATAAAGAAGCTGCCAACTTGCTACAGACACTGCGGTAAATTATACAGTACGTCACATCCTCTGCGCAAGAGCGCACTGCAATTTACAAGTTTTCAAACAATTTAGTAGTTTTCACGTAATTGGGCGTATAAGATATGCAATTTTTAAACAATTGTTTTCTCAAAAACAGCTACGATTTTTTTAAACCTTTTCTCCGGATGGTGAGAAAGGTGCTTAAAGAAGGCGCAGATCTAATTTTTGTTGATATCTCGAGACGTTTGAAAATTGTGTGACGGAAATAATTGGAAAGACAATTAGATTTTTAATCGGCAGCCCCAGTGAATATGGCAGACTGACGTGGTAGAGTGGGAATGTGCACAGTGAGTTAACTCCGTGAACCTGGATTTGAATTTTGGCATGGAGAAAAAATCTAGTTGACTATTTTGCAGGTTAATTTAGTAGTATAATATTGAGTTGCTGGGACAAATGCACTGTTTTAGAACCACTTGTTACATTTAAAATGCTTCTGGTCACGTGATTGATTCATAACGTTTTACACTACGCTACGCAAAATCCCTGTAATAAAGCATTACCGCATCTTCTTTTTTTTGTATTCCAGCATTATAAAAGAACCTTTTATGTTGCAAGAAATCGTCTTACGTCATTTTACGTCATTTCTAAAATCATTTTACGTCACAAATGATGACGTATTAAATTTTGTCACCAATGATTGCGTCATCACACATTCAGCCAATCGTAGCGAGAGAATCGGGGGGAGGTATAGCTAAACGGAACAGCCGACCACCGTTTACTCGCACGATATCTAATACCCGTGTCGTCACAGGGCAGTTGTTTCGCAAAATTAAGCTTGATTGTCTTATAAATGCATAATGCTGTTTTACAAAAAACATAGTATAATAGTAATGCTGTTCTACAAAAAAATAGTTTTATAGAAAATATAGTTTATAATGTTGCTTTATTACATTCGTACACATTTCTCATGTACTAATGCAATAAAGCTTAACATTATAAACTTATTGCATAAACTACTATAATCTCGCAGGCGAGCATCCCTACCTTGAGGTCCCGCATGGCGCGGTCCGTGTGGGGAGAAAGTGTCTCCACCATCACCCACCAGAGGTAGTTCTCTGCAACAAAGTATCACAAACGGGTTAGTGGCATTGGTGGCATAATGGTTAGTATATCGGGTTGTTATAGCCAAGTATCCGGGTTCAAATCCGATCGAAGACATGGGTTAAAAATCCTTCATACGCCATCCTTCGAATACGAAGTAAATCGTGTTGTCTCATGTTGTAAAATTACTGCATGAAAAGAATCCTCAAGCCTAAAAACCTAGAGAGGTGGCTGAGGGCAGTAACTGATGTCACTGCAGTGCCTCTGACAAGTAGGTCCTAACTACGAGTCCCGACGGTGACTTTCTTTTTTAGTTTTTTCAACATTTTCGACACTAGCTTGTCAATTTTAGTCGCTATCTGGAGGAACATTTGCGGCCGGCTTCTCTGATTTGTAGTTTTTCGTGTTTTTTCTGATCAACACCAGTTGAATGCCGTATCTGTACCCTAACAAACGGGCAATGGACCGCGCGCGATCTTTTCTTCCTCTTTCCTGCCCTGTCACTTAAACACACTTATGCTAACATATGTCGGGAATTTGAGGTTATTTCACCGCTGGTAGGAGATACCTGGTTCAGGAAAACCCCGTTAGTCGACGTCGACCCCGTCTGTGACGGCGCCGGATCTCACCATCCAACCGAAGAAAATCGCCTCCAACTCCCGAGGGGAGAACATGCACTACACTTACGGCACTAATGACCTTAGCTGTTGACACGCCCGGAATAGCAATCAATCATCTCAAACCTAACAAAATATAAAAGCCCAACTAAGCCCTAGAAAGTTAAATTTAAATCCCCCTTTCGACGCCCACGTGATATCTTCTATCTTCACTAGAATTTAAAAGGAGCGTAGCAAAATTCGTGTGGTCACACGGAAGAACAGGCCTCACGGCCGAGTAGTCTCGCCACGTAAAATGAGGCAACATAAGTTGAATCAGCGATTGAATCATTTGAGACTTAGGATTCGGAGTTATAGAGATTCGTTCCCACCCTTAAACGAGTCGGATCCCGAAGCCCCGGCTCACTTCACTTCAGTTTCTCTCCTCAGACGAGCAAGATGCCAGGCCGCGACCACATTTTTTATCAATGTTTCAATTCAGATTTGTGTTACTGTGCAAAGCGAGAGAGGGTCGTGAAGCTTCAGTGTTACGAGATACAAGGTAAATGTTCAAACTTCTTAAATGTGTACGTCCAAGAGCAATATAAAAGTAATAAACAAGCAAGAGTAAAATACGTCAATAAGTTACCAGATTGTATTGCAGTTTTTTACCATTGCCAAATAGGGAAATCCTTCCCGAATGGTGTCTGATGTGATCTTAATTACACCTAAATTAGATTTCAGACCGGGAGGATATCACAAAAGAAAAACGTAGTGGACTGAAGGACTGTCGGATGGGTGTAAGACATAATGATGATTGCAATTGAAACATTGTTACAATTCAAACAAGTTATTAGGGTGGCATGTTGAGATGGAGTTTTATCAATATAAGTTGGTGTCGTTTTGTGTATGTACTCATTGTTTCTCATTTTATAGTGTTTTTATTTTGAAGTTAATTGTTTAGGAAATTTATTGAAAGTAATATTTTGAAAATGAGAGAAGATGAGAGTAAAATTTCGAAGCAAAGGAGGCAACAGTTAATTAAAAACACATATTTTGTCAAGGCTAAAGTAACTCCATTCAATAAATATTTGGATAAATATAGGAAGTGAAGTTATTAAAAGTAAAGGATGTAGTTGTTCTGTAAAGAGGAACTGCTAGCTTTGAGAAAAAGGTCATTTTTTAAAAATTTAGAAAAGCATCAAGATTTGTTGAGCCAAATCCACATGCAAGTAAATGAGCTGTATCAGATAAAGATAGAAGAAAATCATTATTAACTGTTGAGGGTAACATGAAAGTTCCCTAGTAAAGTTACTCAAACTATTATTCATTAAATCTTCATGTGAATTTTTTCAGTAGGAGAATTTCACCCCAGTATTTCAAACAATAGTTATTAAGAATATCTCTTTGAACAATGTAGAAAGGCTATGTTATTTCAAGGGAATATTGGAGAGTATTACAGAACAACTTGTTGCTTCTTTATCTTGTTGCTTATTTGAGAATAAATTCCTGACTAATAAAAGTGATATTTTTCAATTAAATAGACTGGAAAGTTCAGCAGCTGCCTCATCTACATCTTTTTGAGGATATTGTAAAAATTGTGTTACTTCGAATGCTCAACTTTCTCTCAACCTAAAGGTTTTAAATAGGGTTGCAATGTTTTTATGACTTTTAAGAAAACTAAATGCCGGGAGAGGTGGCTCAGGGCATCAGCTGAAGTCACTGCCGTCCCTATGGCCGGGAGGTCCTAGGTTCGAATCCCGACGGTGGCAGGACCGCGCGCGATCTTTCCTACTCCCTCCTTGTCCTATCGTAACCCGTTACACACACTTACGCATATGAACTACACTACAGAACATGCCGGGAGGCCGGTCGGGTGCTTGGAGCTTGTCCCGGCTGGGGCGGTGCCCCGCTGGTAGGAGACATCTGGTCAAAATGAGATTTGTCTGAACTTCGTATTACGTCTCACGGATTTTATTTGCTTAGTTCCATCACGTTTCCAGACAGCCGGCAGCTAAAACTCCCCAGACAGCGGCTGAATTCGACGTAACTATGTAGCTAGTGTCGAAAATCCTGCCTCAGTCGTGACTCGAACCTTAGAGCTTCTGTTAGAAGTCCTGCAGAGGAAGCGACAATGCTGACTCTGAGCTAAATTACACTGGAACTATTCATGTTCGTACAATATAGGAATTTATTGGAATTTGTTGTCTTAAGGATAAAGGATATTCAGTATATGTTCACTACTCTTATGACTCAAACAATTGTTAGCATTTCTACTATCATCACATTATTATTATTATTATTATTATTATTATTATTATTATTATTATTATTATTATTATTATT